CCAGTCCTGCTCTACGGTGCAGAGACTTGGCCACTAAAGGAACAGGATAAAAATAGATTGAGGGTGTTCGAACACCGCTGTCTACGTCGCATTGCACGTGTCTGGTGGGTTAACCGGACTAGCAATGCTGAGGTTAGGCGTAGAGTTTTAGGCAGTCGCGGTAGTCCACTAGAGCAAGTGATCAACCTCCATAGATTACGCTAGTTGGGACATGTGCTACGCATGTCACCAGATAGGTTGCCACGGCGAACGATGTTTGCCAAGGCTGGTAGCGATTGGAAAAAACGAAGGGCGGTCAAGCTAAGACCTGGCATGAGGGTATGAAAACCCTAACCAGGAGACTAGGTCACATAGGCCCCGTTAGGCTCCCTGGCTGGAGACCTCGGGATGATGGTCACCGATGGTTAGCTACAATGAGTGATACGCTGAGAGATATGGCCCAGAATAGAAGTCAGTGGGTCGAATGCTAAACGGACTATTTCTTCAGCGTTTTTTTATTCCTCTATAATCACTTTCTTTCAGCGATTTTCCCGCCCATTTTCACCGATTGCTTTCCGTTTTTCCACAGGCCCTTACCTATGGTCTCACACTGCCCATCGAACATTGGGATGTGATCAAGCATGGGGTTCATGTTTGTTGTTTCTGGCTTCGTTGTCTTGCGTCCGGGCGCACCGGATCTATGACCAATTCACCTGTTTGTCCACAAGTGTTGCGTCGTGAACCATATCGGTTTTTTGGTTCCATTCTTTTCGCACTCACCTACGCATTTCTGCCGCGCTATCCGGATCCGTTGTGCGATCGTACTCGATGGTTAATTGCCAGTTTCGGACGAACCACTCCGATGCCGTCTGGTTCCGTCTCGCGATCGAATGAGGATCAAGGGGAACAAGGAGATTTTCAAAATGCTTCTGGTAACCAGTCTCTTGGATCATTGAAATCCAAATTTTTATTATGGATCAATTACAAAGCGGATGCTTGTTAAATCCCATAGAATCTGTACACACTGGGTTTGGTTGGTAGTACAATCCAGTAGAAAATTACGTCGTTCACTCACGGGTGCTGAAAAGGTAGGTATAATTCAATGCTTCATCGAGCCGTGACTTAAACGAATCCATGGTCGGTGCACAAATAACTTGAGGTGGAAGGGAGTTCCATCAAGAGTGCTTGGTGCCTCTGAACAATCGAATAGACTAATCCAAGCTTGGTACTCTAAAGAGTTCCAGGTATGGCAAACTCTGAGGCTGAAAGAATAACGCCTGCAGTCTAGCCAACTCTTTTGGAGCAAAAGTTTAAACGGATATACTCTGAGGTGGCCATTCCTGGATAGTGTTGGTAGAGTCCTCACGGGTGGTTAAGTTGATGAAGTATTTGATTAACGAGGTTCATGTCTCCCGTATTCGACAGTATTCACCGTAGGTCTTGTATTGTAACGCGTTGGCCATTTTGGTTACTGTTCTCTGCAGACGTCCGAGTGCCTTCTGGTGGCGAATCAGCCATGGATTTCATGCCTGTATAGCATAGTTGGTGTGTGGTCTAATGTATGCTGATAATAAACGGGGCAATAAATCCGTTTCGAATGATCCAAAAACACGTTTTAACAATCCAACGTGCTTTATGGCCTTTGAAGACGCTCTTGCGCAATGTGTCAAGCATCTTAGATCCTCACGAACGATAACTCCTAGATCCCTTTCGTTTGGAGAACGCGGTATCGGCTGATTTTCAAGTGAGTATGGAAAGCGACCCCTGTGACGCAGCGATGCAACCTTGCATTTCTCACTGTTGAATTCGATGTCATTAGTGATAGACCATCGGTAGGTTGCATCGAGAGTTTCCTGCAAGGTTTCATAATCTTCAGGATATTTTACCGTCCTCCATGTTTTGGCGTCGTCAACGAATAATAATGCCTTTTCTCCAAGGACGTCTGGTAGGTCGTTTATGAACGCTAAGGTACGGACCGGGTAAGGATCCTCGTGGAACTCCACGGACACCCCTCCATCGATCCTGATAGAGAACCATTAACTCGAATCGATACGGTACGTTGTCGAAGAAATTTCTACATCGTAGTTATTGAGCTTTCACAGCGGTATATGTTGGTTAACCCTGTCAAAAGCTTTGGAGACGTATAAGTGGACCACGTCTACTGCCTCTCCTGCGTCGACTGATCTTGTCCATTCGTCTCACGCAGGTAACAGGTCTGGGGTGCACGAGCGTTTTCCGTCGGAATCCGTGTTGGGCCGGCGAAAGAATGTTATACATCTCGAAATGATCCATCAGAGAACCAGTAATAATCGATTCCATTACTTTTGACAGAACAGACCTTTTGTCGTGTTTGAATTGTGAAAGAATCAGCTGTCCAAAGTGGACTCCAACACGCGCATGAACGTTGTTTACGCCTTTGCACAACGCACACAGTCGGGTGATTAAGTACGAAGGTGGCCCCTTAGCCCAGCTGATTACGCGTGCGAAGGCGTAGAGGGATTTCATTCGTGGATTCGAATCCCTCCGAATTGTCTGCTGTATTTATCACACATGAGTTTCGAAATCGAGTGCTGTCATATAGTAAGTTAGAGGAAAACATATATGTTCTGTTGTGCCTGTGTGTAATTATGTAGAGTTTATGATTTGTGTGTCATGTATTTGCACAACCACTCATATGCTTATTGGTTTTCTGCTTTAGTTTGTTTGGAACGTTTTACAACCATATTAAACCTCCCACACGTTCTATGTGATAGTGGTGGTCAAGTGGTTCAGGTTGATGTCATTGAAGTTCTCGGGGCCTTAGGGTCTGCGGTTTTGATCCGGCTGCTATCACTCCATTTTGGTGGTAGACCGCTTCGTTGTCNTCGTCCTTCTTAATATCACACCTTACCTAGTCGCTCCTGTTCTATTTCGCCTGTTCGCTCCATTCCCGAAAGTTGATTATGTTTATTTTTGTTTTCTCTCATCGTTTTTTTCCGGTTTATCAGATCGACCCAGTATGGCGGTACAGCTGTCCCGTCAGCTTGAGATTACTCGAATGGTGGCTCAGTGTCTCGAAACTATCTTGTCACAGTCCGGTGAATGGGCTCCAGCCGTTTGGGACTCCGTGCTGCAATTCTGCTTGGTGATATGTCATTACGTACTGGCATTTCCGCTTCCCATACCGGGTCAGCGCATTCTCCCGGGTTCGAATGTGCCAAACGTGACTGGTAGTGGGACGGGCGGAAACGTTGGCAGTGGAGGTCCGGGTTCCGGTCCCGGTAGCAGTGTAGTCAGTGGATCTATTTCTTCCGGGATCGCTGGAAACGCGAGTTCCGGTACCACAGGATCCACTGTTGCTGACTTTGTCTCAACTAATTCAAGCTCGGTTACCGCCGGTGGGGGTCAGTCAGTTGAGCTGAGTACCTCAGATGTCGCGAGTTTGGCGGAAAGCATCGCGGAGTCCGTATTTACGTTGCTAATGAATGCTTGGCTCAAAGCGTGTACACAATGCTTCCCTCGTCCGCAAATGTGGGCTGCTTTGAAAGAATGTGTAAAAGTGTGGCGACATCAGATAGCAGTTGCTTCCATCTGGTCCAATGTCTTATTCAGTATGACCACTCAGTTGTTGATTGTGCTCAATAATACCGCTGCTGGTAGGACAACCGAGGCAATTTTGTCTGTTAGTGAGTGCCCTATACTTTTTGGCTGTCATGTTTATTACGAAGGGCTGTCGAATAGTGAGTGTAGGGTTATTCGGATTTACGGACAGATGTTTTACCTTCCTGTATCACCACAATCTATCAGATGTTGACACTGGCTTATTTTTTACATGCTGCAGTGATCACATTCGCGGTAACCGATTTGCGAGTGCGACAAACCAGTTGAAATTCGGCGAATCGCCAACTACGTTTGGACGATCTGAGAAAAGCTCTTGGTGGCGATCGAGTTATGTCCGCAGTTCGACGGTAGTTCCGCAGTTCCGCAATGCACCAGAGTATCGATAATTTTCCTGCTGCGTTCTGATTTAACATAATTGTGCAAATGTCGTAGACTGTCATCACTTTACAGCGAGAATGCCATAGATGCTCCTCCAAACAAGAAATGAATTCCATGCCTCGTTTCACACACACACACACGACCAAGCATTTCAAACAACCTTTACTGAGGAAGCCCTACCCACTGCCTTCTCGCGGCGGAAGTGTTTTCCCACCAAAATGAGAGGACGAAGAGCCGATCTCCGAGGCTATAATCCGATTGGTGGACAACTGGTAGTTC